AACATTAACTGGAGGAAAGACAGCATGTTCAGCAAATGGTGCTGGCAAAACTGGATCTCCACTTGTAGAAGAATGAAACAAAACCCCTATCATTCACCCTGCACAAAGTCAATTCCAAATGTCTCAAAGACCTCAATTTGAAACTGGAAACCATGAAACTATTAGAAGAAAATATTGGCAGTAATTTATAAGATATAGGTGTAGGAACGGATTCTCTTTTTTTTTTCTTTGATAATTTTTTTTTAGTGGGGCTTTTGGCTACTCTAACATTCCCCCTTCTGAAGAGGTAATCCTAAAATCTTTGAAGGATTAGATAAAAGCTCCAACCTTTTTTGCCTTTGGAATGGAGTAGGTTGCTAAGAGGCCCAAGTACATTGTGAGTTTTAGCCAAGAAACTGGCTACATTTCTTTGGGGTCTTGTTACCCTAACTGCCTAGCAAATTCCTACCTCCTATTCTTATCACACCATCCTCTGAAGAGGTTACCCAAATTGCCAATAGGGAATTGGGACGCAAGCCGCTCTGGCTTCTTCCATGCTGAACAGGAACACAGGGTGAGGCAATTGGAGTGCCTCTTCAGTGGGTTTATCTACAAGACTCTCAAATTGCATAACTCTTACCTTGAGGAGGAAAAGAAAGTCTTTGAATCATGAATAGGAGATGTGAAGGAGAAGTAAAGGCAAGAGTAATTAGCATTACAAGTTCTAGACAGGGAACTAGAAAAAAAGTCAGAACAGGGCAATTTTCAAATGTTCATATGAGAGTCCATTGGAATTTCTTGACAAGGGCTTCCAAACACATCCCTGTATTGGGTTCCTCCTCATTTTTTTTGGTCTTCCAAAGCTGGACTCTAGAGTGATGGATTCAGGATTTGATTTCGGGTATTTTGATAGCTGTTGGAGTAGTTAAAATCAGTGTCAGTTCCCTCTCAAAGGTTTCACCACATGGAGGCAGGATCTCAGGACTCTCAGGCAGTCCCCTGCATTCTCAGCCCCTCTATCAGAGAGTGGCCAAAACTCGGCACTCTGGCAGTCTGCTGAGATCAAAGCTGCTACACCAATGGAGGTTGGAACCCACCCTCTCAGGCTGTCTGCTAGGATCTCAGCCTTAGCCTACCAAACAGATGGGTCATTTTTAAAAGACTAGTTTGTGGGCTAGAGAGTTTGTTCAGCAGTTAGGAGCACTGGCTGCTCAGGCAAAGTACCAGGGTTTGGTTCCCAGAACCCCCGTGGTGGCTAATACCTGTCCTTAACTCCAGTACCAGGGGATCTGATGCCCTTTTCTGGCCTCTGTGGGGGCACAGGTATGCAAGTGGTACAGTTAGGTATACAGGCAAAATACTCATACATATTATTAAAATCAATTCTAAAAGAAAGAGAACAATTTGTCTGCCTTTCCCTCCTTTTCCTTTAGAAGCCTTGTCTCCGTAGTTTGCACAAGACTTTTAAACTGTCTTGGGGTTGCCTGGTGCTGGATATGCAAAGCACGCTTACTAAGGAATATGTGCCCTTTCCTTCTGCATGCAAATAAAATGGAAGCATCCACCTGCAAGGATTGGCTTTATCATTATACTAGGGAACTGTATGCAGGTGGTGAATATCTGGGAAAGCTGAGTTTTATTTTGCAGTTATCCTGGTTCTCAGGAAAACTTTCCTCTTAGCACTGCCAACTTGGGGAGACCTGTGACTATTGTACTAAACTCTGAAGACTTTTCTTGGACATCACAGTGTTTGGTGACCTGGCTGAGGTCACATAGGTAGGTGGGCCCCAGGGTCCTTCCTTCACCTCTGCAGGGTCCAGCCACCTCCCCGCATACTCCAATATACCCACAGGAATAGAAACTTCAGGATGTCTGCTCTGGGCTCCTTGTTTAATATTTATCTAATATTTGAGTAAGAATAGAGAAAAAGTGATTTAAATGGGATTTTAAAAAATATTTTATTATTTTTATTTTCTGTGTATGAGTGTATTGCCTGCATGTATGTATGTGTCATGCAATGCTGTGAAGGTCAGAAGAAGGCATCAGATTCCCCTGGAACTGGAGTTAAGGATGGTTCGTAGCCACCATAAGGGTGCTGAGAATCGAATCCAGGTCCTCTGCAAGAGCAGTCAGTACTCTTAACTGCTGAGCCATCTCTCTAGCCTCTGATGGGATTTTTTAAAGGCATTTTTGTTCTCTGCAGAATGAAAAAGGAAAAGTCAATTACAGAAAATAAAAGCATGCTCTTATAGCAAGGATACTGAGGCTTAATGACCAGGGGAATCAAATGTGTTCCTCAGATACACTATGTCTTTGGGCTCACAGCATGTTTTCTTGAATAACTCTTGGAACTAAAACAAGAAATTGGTTTTTCCTGGTATACATATACCCTGGACTTGAACAAACTGTCCCAGAAGAGGGTGCAGACGGTGGTGGTCATGACTACAAGGTGTTACGATGGCGATCGATCGTGTAGAAGTTTTATAACTAGGAAGAAAATGAGCTTGAGGAAACGTGAAGCAGTAACACAGCACCTGCAGAAACCCAGCTCCTGCACGGGATAGATGCCACCATTAAAAAGATGAAAATAAGCAAAGTAATGAAAAGAATTAAGATTTATTTTCAGAGACAGGAAAAATGCACCTAAGTTCTTTTGTAATGGTCATGTACCTCATCCACTGGACCCCAAAAAGACCACCGAGGACCCAACACACCAAAATGCAAAAACAAAGGTTTATGGTTTATTCGGGCTTAAGCTCGGGCTCTCAGACCTCACCAACTCAACGGATCCATGCTGAGAGCCCAGAGTAAGGGAGATTGGAGCCTTTTATAGGTTTTGGACAAAGAGAGGAGGGGGATACCAAAGATACATTTTGGTTGGTTCAAGGAGCCTGCGCGCACCAACATAATTTTAAACTGATTGGATGTATAAGATGCAGCCCTGGAAGTTTCTTATTGGTAAGTGCTACTCTCAGGGCTGTGGAATGTGCTGACTGTTATCTGTGGGGCCAGGAGTCTCCGTTTTTACCTTATAGGGCAGTTTTCATGCCTGGGCTTGCTTAATCTATAGTTTCCTGGAAGTGGGGGGAATAGCAGGCAGGGGTCAGGGCATGTCTAGGCATGTCTAAAGCAGCAGCCAAGCATTTTACAGAAGCTAAAAGAGCAATTAGTGGGGGTCTGGAGGGATTGGGGGGTAGCGGGTGAATGAAGAGGGTCTCAGGGTCCTACAGTCACAATTTCAGGAAA